GGGGGAAGGTAATGAAGAGGTTCGGGAATTTAATATTTGGTGTTGTTGTTAGTTATGATAGAATGCCATTGTGTTGGTGTATTTTTCACTCGGATAACACTCTTTATCCTATTTTTGAGCGTCTAAACACGTGAAAACATGAAAGCACTCTTCTTTATCCTACTTTCTGAGCGTAGTTTCTGATTAGTCACCATATGGATGTGAATCGGTAATCAGAATGACTTAAGATGCATGTGATGAAATTCATGAATACAGTTATTGCTCGCTCATATGTTTCGATATGATGTGATGTGCTGATTTGCTATGTACTTATCACGCCATTCCTTACGACATTATAATGTCCATCAAAATTTTCTGCCTTACACATTCTTATCAAGCACTACACTCGTCACTTATTGTTACCTTTCATTCTTTCCTTATCGCTCCTGTTATCTCGTGTAATATCGTAGCAGTTAATTAGCAGTTACTCTATTCGATAACCAGTTTGTAGAGCTTGTTTAAGCGATCAAAATCTTCTTTGCATTGATCACAATTCACTATCGTTTGTTTCAATTCAGTGGTGCGCTTTCAAAATTCGTTCTTTTGGCTAATTTTTTATTAAAGCTTAATTCAGTGCCATTTAAATGTTAGAGCAAAGTCATTTTTTTGGTTTATATTTCATTCATTTTTTGGTTTATTTTACAATTTTCTATATATTTTATTAAATTGACATTATTCAAGGAATTTATTGTCATTGAAGAGTTATTTTTCATGTTCTATAAGCTTATTCTGAAAACGCAATAGTACTTAGAATAAGGAAATGAATTTTGAGTTGAAGCATTTTTTTTCTGAAAAATTAATCGATCACCACTTACACACTTTAAATCGTTCAAATCTTCTTAAATTTTCATGTTTTATTTCACTCGTAATCCATTCCAACAAAATACTTTCATTTTAATAGCGATTCACCAATGAGTTTCACCTGAAACGGTCGAGAGATGACCCTTACAAGTGCAAACGTCATCATGCTAAAACTGGTTCTTACTGAGTGTTCTATTGATTTGTGCATTTTTTGTGCTTTTTTTTAAAGAATCGACATCGATTTGCTTACACTTCGTTCACAAAGAATGAATGCAATGAAAGAAGAAATTCTTCGACATGTCAGTCATTGTAACAGTTTCAAACATCAAATACTTGATTGAAAAATTACGGTGAGAAAATGGCAAAAGCAATAGATTAAAGTCTCATAGTTGCATAAGTGCCGACTGTGTTGATAGGGTTCCCTTCTGTTCCGTTCGTCTTTATTTTCTTTTCATGAATGTTCAGCATTGTAAGGAATTGATGTCGAGTTAACGTACACTAATATGTCTTTGTAACAAATCAATTTCTCGTTATACACAATTAACGAGACGAAAATTCATAGAATTTCCATCTAATCTAAACACAATTTTCTTTTTCGTTTGTTTGCGCTGAAATTTCGCTGCCGCAATAATAATGTAAATTCTTCAATTTTTTGCCAGATCAGTCTCAATTTTCAACGTAATTGTTAACGATGGAACGTTTGAAGTTATTTTTTGGTAAATTCAAAATGTACAAATTCATCGGGAAATGAAGTGATTTAGGGTATATAACTGTTCAAGACACACAATGGATGGTCTTCTACGTGTAGTGCTCGCACCGCAACACTTCAATAATGATGAGGCGAGACGTTATCTGGGCGAGGAATTACTCTATCCTGCGTTTTATATATCAATCGCATATGTCTTCGTTATTTTCATCATTAAAGCTATCATGAGTTCAAGGAAGCCATTCGAGGTACTAATTGTATCATCTTCTATCATGCGATCCAAATTCCACAATCTGCCGGAGCTAAGCTGTTTGAAAATTTGTAAATAAGTCCTCAATAGGCTTCTGCTCAAGGCTAGAAGCCAAAAGCAAGTAAACAAAACAAGAAGAATATAGATCATCGTAATAAAATTGCAGTGAACCCTCTCAAAATAGCAGTTGACACCATCATATTTATAGTTACCATCTGCTTACGGGCCTTTATCCATTATTAAATGAAATCTTTTGAAAGTGCTCTTATCATAAGGTTGTAATGAAGTTTTCAGAGTTGTTCTCATCATTTAAATGTAATATTTACAGGCAAAATTTTCCTTATTCAGATACCGTTAAGAAAAAGTATTTTTCAGTTAACGCTAGCGTTGAATCTATGGAATACATGGTTAGCTGTTTTCAGTATTTTTGGTTCAGCAGTATCTTCAGTCGCACTCTACAATGAGATCAAAAATCATGGACTTGTCGGTAATGCTTTATGAATTACCATTCAAAAACTTTCATTTTCCTAATTTATAACGATTTTGAAAGTTTTTTTCAGTTAATTTCTTAGGAATAACTGAAAAAAAAAACAAAATTTATATTAGTTATTATATTATTAATAGTTATTTTATCGACATGAACAAATTTTTACACTGCGTATGAATAGAGTACACTTTATTAAAGTATTTTATGCACTTCAAAAAATATTTCGAGTTTGCTCATTTTTTGAGAAATTATTCCCATTCGATTGAATAATCAATTCATAATAACGTAATCATTTGCAAACGTTTTACATCTCTGATAAATTTTCTTGATCATAATATACTGCATACGCATATTCTAAGCTCACAGTTCTTAATCTTTCAGCTTCATACACAAGTTATGGTGAGTTCTTCACCGGGTTCAGTGGTTATTTTGCGTTTTTGTTTTGTGTTTCGAAAATCGCCGAACTCGGCGATACGATATTGTTAGTCCTTCGAAAGAAACCGTTGATATTCCTTCATTGGTATCATCACGTCCTAACACTCAACTACGGTGTGCTGTCGTTCAGTGAGAAAACGCCTTACAATACATGGATCATCTGGCTTAATTTCTCGGTGCATGCAGTCATGTACAGGTACGTATTTATTTTACATTCGTTCCGTGTTCGTGATTCATTACAAAAACAGTAATAACAATTATGAAAATGTTTGATTGTGTTCACTAGTGGTGTGGCCATAGCATGTTCGTAATTCTATTTTCAAGCTTGCTCATATTTTTGACTGGAATTTTTCCTTTTTGAAGAAGAATTTTTGGTTTGGTAATATTATTCCAATAATTTTTATTGTTCATCTAAGGAATACGATTCTATCTGAACTGTATACGATTGTTTTGATTCTGATCAAACTGAAGAATAATTTGCTCCCACTGAAATGAGGAAGTAGTATCGAGAGAAACAGTCATTTCGACTGATCTCTTATCAAGAATATCTAGAACGGGATGATTACAGCCACAAAATCTGATAACGTATCAAATAATCGCAACGATAACAATGCTTATAATAATAATAGCAGTGATTCTTGTAATGAGAATACCGATAATAACTTTAATAGGACCTAATAGCATAAATAATCAAAATAACATGAACAATAAAAATTTTAATTTTCAGTTACTACCTACTCCGTTCGATGCACATTCGCGTGCCAGCTGCGATTGCTCGTTCCATAACCGTAACACAAATTCTGCAGTTCGTTATAACTGTTCTCATTCTCATTCATATTGGTTTATTACGTTTGAATGGAAAGCATGTTGATGGAACAATGCGAACGTATGTCTTCTGTTTCCTGATGGAAATATCCTACATTATTCTGTTTGGAAACTTCTTCTATCAGTCGTATATTCGTGGTGGAGGCAAGAAATTCATTGCTGAAAAGAAAAAGGATTAAATAATCAAGTGATCGCTGGTCAGATGTGATGAATTTGAAGGTGGTTTTGATTCAGAATTCATATGAACTTGTTACGGTCTTTTATTGCGCTGTTAATTGTTATTTTTTGCTTTTTCATTTCATTTCAACAAAATTAGAGTATTTAGTTGATGAAAGATGCGTAATTATCATTAATCACCACTAATACCATTGTAATTCTATTCACACTATATGACATAAACGTTGGTTTCTCGTTGTTTTTGATGAAGCAGAATAATTCTGCGATCGTAAAATTATGCTCAAGTCATCTTCTGCGGTTATTTTGATCACCGAATTGTTCTGAATTGGAACTCACACTTAATTCTGAGATGACATGAAAGTTTCAATGAGGCGATTCACCTCATTACTTAACTGATCTACAAACAGACATTTCTATTCGGAGTTGCTTACATCAACGATAAATAACGTAGAAGAGTATCATCGACATCGTTTACCGCATTCAAAAAAAACAACATTTCAAATATATTTCGTTTTTATTTGACACACTCATTTTTTCTAGAGCACTCGAAGTCAACTGATTAGAACATGCACATTGNATTTCTGTTCGGAGTTGCTTACATCAACGATAAATAACGTAGAAGAGTATCATCGACATCGTTTGCCGCATTCAAAAAAAACAACATTTCAAACATATTTCATTTTTATTTGACGCACTCATTTTTTCTAGAGCACTCGAAGTCAACTGATTAGAACATGCACATTGTTGAAAGTTTTCTTAAACTATTTATCGTTTGAAATATTCAAATCTTTCAGTCCTTTACATGTATCCTTTTATGCAAAAACCTGTTACGAGTTATTCAATAGGTTTGATGATGGATTGAGTTGTGATGTTAATTCATTCACTATATCTCTTCAACAATGCGTTAATATGAATGATGTCTCAATGAAAATGAATTTAAAATGTTTTTATCATGGCATGAAAATGAACATTTCATCGTGAGCATTCTCAAAACTCACGCCATGACACGACGAAAAACATTCCTTGATCTGACGAAAAACCTTCATTACATACCATATGATGATGCCACACATTAATTTATTCCCAAGTCAATACAGACCACTTCAAAATTTGATAATTCTTGAACGAAATTGCGTGAGGCAGAGTATAAACATGACTTGAAACATCAACGGAGAGTTCAAATATGAAACGTTACCCGGTCAGCACAATCCAACTGATGAGTTATCTCTGGATCGACCAAAAACATGGTTATTTTTCCGCACCATCCGATTTCCTAAATTCTCCAGCTACAGATGTTGTCCGGAGATTTTGCACACAGTCAGAGGAATAGCTAATTTACGAGAGCATCTCACTCGCTCGGAAGTACTTATTTCAATAAACTGTATCTACACCAATCATTTTCAATGAACTGTATCATACATTATATCATGAGTAACAGGGTTACCATCGTAAAACTAACGCCGACCTCAGGTTTGCCAGGTAACATAGCAATTTCTCCACATTGATCGATTCCGCAGAATCTCTAGATCCGCCAAAACATATATGGTGTCGAGCGATTTTGCTTACGTGAGCAGATATAGCTAATCACCTGAAACCACAAATACTACCATCTTCAAGACAACGGTACTCTTAGGTTGGCCCAGTGACATATAAATTTCTTCACGCCATCCCACCCCTTAGAATCTCCAGATTCAGAATATTGTATATTCTACGGACCAATTTCGTTTACTTGAAAAAATGTAGCTTTTTTTCTTAACGTTATCTCAANTTTCTTCACGCCATCCCACCCCTTAGAATCTTCAGATTCAGAATATTGTATATTCTACGGACCAATTTCGATTACTTGAAAAAATGTAGCTTTTTTTCTTAACGTTATCTCAAAACATAGGGGTTACCATATTCAAACTTACCGTAGCCTCGGGTTTGCACAATAACATATAAATTTCTTTACATCTATCCATTCCTTAAAACCTCTAGATCAATGGTTCTCGTGTTCGGGTACTCCATTATCTCTTTTGAAGACTTGGCAGGTCGCTGTTACCCCCACCCCCCATGGTATTACCCAAAACGGGTAATTTCACTCCCTATGAGAACCCCTATCTTAGAGCGTTGTGTTGCGCAATATTGCAATCGATTATGATAGCATCAAAAGCTTTGTCTATGACACACTCACTTCAAAC